TAGAGTAGAACTTTTAGTTGATGATCAACAGAAGTAAAGAGAGGAACATGAAAGAAATCTCCTTGTATTGTTTCGTAGAGCACAAAAAGTGACTCACCAGTCTTTGACTGCTGTATGAGCCGACAGTTTCTTGTCATATTGGTACAGTTTCTCTGTAGATCCAAACAGTCTCTCTGGAGGTCACTGTGGTCTGTTTGAAGGGTTTGCAGTTTCTTCTCCAGCTCTGGATATTCCAGAAAATACATATTTGAATTTGTTTTAGCTAAAAATTATGATGTAATGCAGTCCTTAAAAGATCAGCAATAAAAAGCCATAAGACATAAAATAGCTCAATGTGATGTAAAAGTCATTTTTAAAGAAGCAACTGATAATCAAACATTTGCCAGTCTTGGATTTGTGCACAAGCTCACAAGTGCCAGAGACATTGTGGTAATTTCTCTCTAGACCCGAAAGGTCTCCCTAAAGATCACAATGCTCTCTTTGCAGAGTCTTCAGCCTTTTCTGTAGTTCTGCACAAGGGTGTGACATTACATGTCAATTTTCACTAAGAGAACTTTGTCTTGTGGAGAGTGCGATATCTGGCAAAGCCTGTAAAAATGTATGGCAGTGTGAAGTCATTTGATATGGGATATTTCACGGTTACCAGAAAAATAGTATTCATCCCTCTAGTGTCACTACAAAGAAGATATATTTTTTTGAGGTTATAATCATAAATATCTGCTAAAAATATACAAAAGGCATAGATCTTCGCCACTTTGTTGAAGAAGAATTTTCTATTACATTTGATGTTTTAAATGTGATATCTTCAATGTAGCTGCAGTTCCAGTTCTGTATTGGTTTCCCTTTAACCAGTCATGGGCTGAGATGTGAAATTGTCAATAGACTGCTGGGAAGCAGGTTCTTTGACCACTAGAGAGGTATGAATATCAAAACTTGACGTTTCACCAGTGTTGGATTTCTGTGTGAGAAGACGGCTCTTGGTCACATTCCTGTAGTTTCTCTGTAGATCTGAATTGTCTCTCTGAAGGTTAGAATGTTCCCTTTGAAGAGTCTCCAGTTTCTTCTGCAGTCATGAAGAAATGAACATGCAGTGCTTATTTAAACTGATTTTGGAGTCTCTGTAAGTCAAAATCTTTTAGTCAATATCAATTTCTCAGTAGATAAAGAGGATGAGATGTGATCTAGACCATCACAAAGTTCTACACCTGTCTTGGCTTGTTGTGTAAGCTGACTGTGTTCCGTCACATTGCTGTAGTCTCTCTGTAGGTCGGAAAGACGTCCCTGAAGGTCAAAGTTGTCTCTTTGAAGGGTCTTCAGTGAATTCTGTAGTTCTGGAGGCCAAACACAAGAACTTTCATGTACTTTTGTAAACTGTGTTGGCGTACATCTTCAGGATGATCATTGAAAAGCCATGGTGGAAAAAGTTCAGAACCTATTAAGTTGTAGGTCATCACTGAATGATCTCGGTGAAAATCAACATTTTACCTTTGATGGGTCTGAAGATTTTTGCAAAATTTGGATATACAGTAATGGAAACAATAATTGTCACATTTGGCTTCATCCTTATTCGCTTCTGAAGTTAAGGAGAATAAAAGCCAGCAGAACTGCTAACATCTCCTTTTATCAACAAATGAAGAACTAAAACATCTGCAAGATGTCTGATGTCGTAATTTGATCATTCATATCACTATTTACAGAAACAAGTAAACAATGATAATGTCTATTTATATTAGACTCTATTGCTAGAGTCCCAGAATGCTCTGTATACTTCAGTATTATACAAACACATAATATTCTCAGTGCAAAGCACTCATGCTCCTCTTCCACACTCAGTATTTGTAGCTGAGAAATTATTTGCTTAATAGATTTTTGTTTACATTATTTCATTAGTTAATAGAAACTCTAGAGAATAAATTACCAGTGCTGTATCTCAAGGTAAGCAATTGGCCGTTTGACACATTCCTGTAACTTTCCTGTAGATCAGAGTGGTCTTTCTGAAGGGTAGAGTGCTCTTTTTGAAGGCTCTCCAGAGACATCAGAAGTTCTGGGTGAAGCACATAAGAGATATTTTCAGTTGATCTTGAAACCTGAGGTTATGTACAGAAAGTCCTCAAAATGATTGTTTAAAAAGCCACACAAGAAAGAGGCTTATAACTGTAAACATCACCTGTCGTGGAGTTCAGTGTAAGCTGACAAGTTTCAGTCACATTTCTGAAGTTTCTCACTACATCGGCATGGTCTTTTTGAAGGTCAGAATATTCTTGTTGAAGGATTTGTAGCTTGTTCTGTAGTTCTGCAGAATTAACAAAAGAATAGTTTTTTTCCATTGATCTTGTTACTATTGGGTAGCTAAAGCTGATCAGTCAAAATGTAAAACATGTTTAATGTTTTAAAAACATGAAATCAGGTGATATGAACCAGTCAATTGTACAGCAGTGTAATACACTTTATTGCGTTAGGTAGCATGGTAGGAAAATCTGTACATGTGTTATTCCTAAGCAGGTGTCAAGATTGAGAACATGCCAATAGAAATTGCCTTACACAGATGTAGTGTAAAACGTATATTTTCCATGCCCTGGTGGCTCCTCCCTCTTTAAAATTCTTAAACCTGGCTGACCTCTTACATTAGCTAAACATTATTTTAGACATTAGACAAATACTTTATATGCTCAAAATACTGTATGTCTTACACTACATCTAGATGTTTCTAGGGTTTATAATACATTTTATTTTATATAGCACCTTTAAAGGTGGCTTTACAGAATGGCAACAAAAAGAATAAAGAAATACACAAGATATGCATAATGAGAATACACAATGAGAGGAGACAGTAGATGGGGATGCTGAATACAGTAGGAGCAGAGGGGTAAAGAACAGAACCAGTTAAGTAAAGGCTCTTCTAAAGAAGAAGGTTTTGAGTCAAGATTTCAGGAGTTTAGAGAAGCGTGACTCTCTGATATCCTTGGAGATATAGTTCCAGAGCTTTGGGGCATAACAGGAGAAGGCCCTGTCACCCACAGTGTACATGGGCTTGGGGGACTGATAGGAAACCAGATTTAGAAGAGTGAGGGTTGCGAGGTGGGGAGTAGGACGATAGTAGCTCAGACAGGTACTGAGGTGCCAAGCCATGCAGAGCCTTATAGGTTCACAAAACTTGACAGGAAGCCAGTGCAAGGACTCCAGGACAGGAGTAATGAGATCACTTGCACTAGACCTGGTCAGGATTCAGGATTTGGATATTCTGGAGTTTGTTCAATGTGAATTTAGAAAGCCCAGCAATCAGCTTTTCAGCCACAGTTAGTGATAACATAGGACATAGTCTGGTAATTGGTAGACTGTTTTCTGATCAGACTGAGGTGAAAGAAAGATTTTCTGACAATATGTTGCACATCTGGGTCGAATATCATGCCTGAATCAAATATCTCCCCCAAGTTTTTCAATTTAGTCTGAAGTTCAAGTACAGTGCCATCTGCAGATAGGGTTACAGCACAGGGTTTACAAAGTTGATGGGGGGGTGCCAATAAGCTTGCATATTGGCACTGTGTATTTTGGAAATATTACTTACTCACACCACAACATTGACAGAGGTAGAACCATCTGAAGAGAGTTCTACTTCTGACTTTTTAGTTAATAACGTCAGTATAATCAGCTACGGATAGCTGTTTTGCCCATCAGTGTGGTATAGCTGATTTCGATCAGTATGTTACTTCTAGGTTTAGTTCCAGATTTAGAAGCTTCTAAAATAAAACTCTGCGGGTTTCTGAAGAGGAACTGAGGTTTTTCGCCTTTTCAAACCGACTACTGAATTCTATCGTTCGCGATTCAGGTCTCAATTTTAAATGCAAAGCTTTTAAAAATGCAATCTTTACCAGTTATGAGGTTAGACGTGTTCATTCGGAAATCCTCCAGTTGGTTCTGCAGTGTTAGTGGATGTTCAGGAAGGCCACTTGCCTCAGAATGTTCTATTGACCTGTGGAAAACTGAATGGGCAAAAACAGGCAGGAGAAAACCAGCAACTCACTGACAACTCAGCAGAACTTCTCCTTGGCTTGGTGAGTATTTGTTTTTTGCAAAAGCATCTTAGAACTGATAAGCAGTTCAGGTGGGGAGCTGCGTCAGCATGCGTAGGCTGTAAAGGAACAAGTAATGGGTTTATTCAATACTGAAAAAAAGGAAAAAGAAAACACAACGTTTCGGCTGTGGAGCCTTCTTCAGGTTTGAGATGAAGAAGGCTCCACGGCTAAAACGTTGTGTTTTCTTTCTTCATTTTTTCAGCATGGAAAAAAACTATTTTTTTTCTTCCTTTGCAGCCTAGGCATGCTGACACAGCTACCCACCCGAACTGCTTCAGCCTACTTCTGCTGTGACCCACTATGCCTTCTGCTAAATCTTTTTCTAGATCTCTTCGTCAGCCCTTCTCCTCCTCCCTGAGCTACTTGCCCCCTTTTCTCACCAAACCAGCATTCCATCTCCTCACAGGGACTGACCTGTTCCAAGACCAGGCTTTCTTACCAACTCCTATTCCTTTACAGGATACCCGAAGAAGGCTCCACACCCAAAACATTGTGTTTCTTTTCTCCTCTTTTCAGCATGGAATAAACCTTTACTTGTTCCTTAAATGTACGTATACATTGCGCTATACATTCACCAATATGCAGCAGAGTACATTCAATACAAAACTTCCCAGTGTCAGCACTGAACTGCTCCCTGCTGGTACTCACAGTAGAGACCCACTCCAGCACTGAGAGTGCTGATCCACAGAATGGCAAAGACCAGCGCAAGGCTCCTGTAGGATGAAACTCTCCTCTCTGAGCTCGGCTGAGTCCCTGGGAATGGGAATAAGAGACTTGGTGATCTTTGATGACTTTAGTGCCAGTACAGTACTTCAAAACACCAGAGCTGTACTTTTGCTATTGCTATCTTTTTATACCAGGTCATCAACTTAAAGATAACTGTCAGAATTAAACAAAGGAACAGCACTGCGCTCATTCAGCAAATTGGGTTCTGTATTCTGTGCAACTGGGGCTGACAGGGAAGTAGAAAGTGCTCATATCTGATATTGTCAAATATAAAAAAAACTCCTGCATGCTGCAATGTGCCAATCTCTATTAAGTATAGATTTTTTTAGATGTGGCTTGTTTTTTTCAAATTATGATTCACATTATTTTTATGTACCAGTAATGGAATCAAAGGTTTTGCACGTGTGTAGTTCCACTGTGTATAATATGACAATATAAAATCACAGTTCTCTTCACTTCATTTGCAATGTTTCCAGTTTTCAAGCACTTTACTTGAGATGACTGAATCATACTTTAGCTTTTTCTTTTTGTTATAACATTTGTGTTTCTATACAGCAGCAAAAAATAATGCTTCACAAAATACATGAATCCAGTTGTTTTCTTGTTAATACTAAGGCAAACATTTGCCTCAGAATTTTGACCTGTGGTAAACTGAATAGATACAGGCATGAGAACTCACCGAAACTGAAACTGAATTTGGTATATTCAGAGGAGTATATTTCAGAGCTAGGAGCTTTATTGTTGATGGAAAAGAGACTTTGTCAATCCAAAAATTCAACTTTATTAAGTCTTTGAAATATTGTAATCAATGAGATACAGATAACAGAAATTCTGCCCTGGCTGAACCTTATCATATATTTCCAATCAAGGACTGTTGGACACTAAACTGTTGGCATTTCTAATTGAGATGAACAATTTTATTACTATTAATATATAGAAAATAAAGAGCATTTACAACTCTCATGAGGAAAATGGACTGAAAATGGATGAATGATAGTTTATTAACATGGGAAACATAGGCATTGGGTAACTGTAAGTAAAAGCCCCCCCTGCCTTTGCTGAAAAAAAAAAATATTGTGAAGTGAATAATATTGTAAGAATTATTTTTTAACATAAGTGTTGAATCAGTTAAAAACAAAAGGAGGCAATTTTGCCCATGAAAGCTGCTATATAAAATGCAGGTTATGAACAGTGTTACTTATCCTCAGAGATTAGTTAATGCATTCAGAAATTAAGGCTATTTTTCAGATTGACGTCCGGACTGTACCTTCAAGTTTCCCAGTGTGTGACGGCCCTTCTGTCAGCTTCCTCATGGTTTTAAGCTCCACGTCTTTGTTAGGATTCCCCATCTCTGTTGAGCGCCAACTCTGCGGGCTGTCTCAAGAGGGACTTCTCTTTTATCTCTGAAGGGCTAGGTCAGGGGGAGGGGAGGATTGTTGTGTGGAAATGCACCCAATTCCTTGGCCTGCCATTGCATCATGTCTGCCTGTGTGCTCAGTACTGCGCAGACCTTCTCAGCTCTGCTCAGCTTAGCTCAGTTTAGTTCAGTTTAGCTCAGCTCTGCTCAGCCCTGCCCTGCTCAGCCCTGCCCTTCTCAGCGCTGCTCTGCTCAGCTCAGCCCTGTGTCGCAAATCGCACACAAGCATGCAGGCAGCACCACGTATCCACACACACTCTGCTCCACTCATGCACTAGTTGACACCACGCTCCTTTCT